GCTGCCAGATAAGCATTTGTCAAATTTCATTTCATTTGCTATGCAACTTAAGACTTTGTACAAATTTATAAGAGAATTAATAATGCTTTTGGTCGAGCGACTCGGAATATTTGTATTTACTTTTATTTCAATAATACAAGAAATACAAGAAATCGTCATGAATCTTATAATAGTTTTTATTACTTTACTTACACAGTTCTCTCAGTATAACAGTAATATGTAGAAAATTCTGAAGGAATTTCACACATGTAAAATAATATATCTTATGAAATCTCTGCATTTATTATATATTTATTATTTAGTATATATTATATATTTATTTATTATATATATATATATACTATATTATTTAATTAGTATTTGCCCACAATAATATCTATAAAATTGGGCAACTAAATATTAATATTTCTCTCTTTTTTCTCTTTTTAACATATTCAAAACTAAACAAGGCCTAACGTTTTTTCATCGAGCTTTCACAGGGAGCAGTGGAATATTTTTGTATCTATTCCAACACACCTCCCAACAGCTTTCATAGCTTGTTGGTTATGTCAGCTTTTAAGAGTTTGCGTTCGAAGTTTACCTAAAGCCCAGCTACGATTCTGACTGAAAATAAGCTCTGCAAAAAAACTCAACTCAATATGAAACTCGTTTCAGCTTTAGGGATGCATAGTAAATGAGCTTAATTGAATGCACTTTATTGGTGGGTGTTTCTGCTTACAATTTTTCGCGTAATGGCAACCCTGCTTGGAGTTAGTTGTAAAATTGAATTTGGCATAACAAGAGTAAAATACATATATATAGAACTATCTTTAGACGAGGTCAACAAAGATCCAATTGAAATTCCCGATTATTCCAGCTCAGTCTGTGTAGTGAAAACACTAAAAAAATGAAGTACCCCATCGATAATTATATTTAATAATTGCTAAACTAATACATACATACATGTATATTCTTCATATTTTATATCATATATATATGTATTTTATTATATATATTTTATATTATATATATTTAGGTATAAGCCATATTTATTACGAATCATGCCTCAGGAATATTGAATCCTTACGTGTACAATATTTTAATAGTAATTGAATATACAAATAGAAATTACCCTAAGAAATATGTTTATATATCTGATAACAATATTTATTATTTCGATTTACACAATTAATATAGAATATAAATGAGAATATGTAGAGACTGGCGAGAGACTATTGGAAATTATGTTAAATTTCTACTGACGATAAGCAAATTTTTCTGGTTATCCAATTTAATAAATACAAGTTGAAAGATTGCTTCATTAAATTAATCGTGAAGCTTGCAGAGGTGGGTACTGGGTTGGGGTTGGGTCTAGCACACGATTAACCTCGATTTTAACACGCACACTTGACTGCATGTGCAGCAAATAAAATTGCATTCAGTTAGCTACTCTTGTGGCCCCATGAAAATACAGTAAATGAAAAGCGAAACTCAAAACATAAACAAAAGCCAATCGCACTTGAGCGACGGAAGAAGAAGAGGTGGCGACGGAAATGATTGCGGAAGTGAAAGCAGGTCACACATCGTCGACTCTCGGCTGACAAGGACATTCCACACACACATATGTATATATATAAACATATATTTATATATGCACACGCTCTTGCTCGCGCATCGGCTGCTGTCGAGTTAATCTGCTTCAATTGAGTTCGTTTTTATTTGAATTTAATTGCTTTCCGTGTAAACGCAAGTCCGGGCAAACTTGCTTTTAGTATTCAGTGCTCCAGGTTTCTTAACTTAAAAAACCAAAAATAAAAACAAACATTTTGTATGTGAAATGCAATTTTATTAATAAATATTTCATTCTATTTTCTTATATTTTCATTTTAATTAGGTGAACCAATTTGGTTGAACTTCGTAAATCGTGAAAGCCCTATACAGATTGATATACATATACTACTCCGTGCTTGCCACTGTTACGACATGAAGGATTGAGGCACGAACACCCGAGACGTATCTGAAAATAAATTAAAAAAAAATAAATTTCAATAAACCTTGATTTCTGATTTAAAAATGTAAACAGTCCAAACATGTAAAAAACTAATAAAATTATTTTAAAATTTAATTTCTGTATTCTTTCATTTCATTAATTTAAGAAAAAAAAAATTATTCCCGATTTCAATGACGTAAAAAATTCGAGTGAAGCAACAGGGAAACAGAAATATTTAGCAGGTGACAATGTTCATAAAAGATCTACCATATTAATGTTAAATAACATAGCAAACAATAGAAGAAGACTTCTTCTACTCTGCTCATGCCGTGCATTAGCTGCATATTCGGTTGGTTTATTAGGCGAACAGAAATGCACAGCAGGAGGAGAAATGTTAATTAACATAGAGAAGTCAATTAACAGTTGAGTTAAAAAGCGGTATCTGTTATACTGAAGATAAATAAACTCATCCTAAGAAAAATTAATAAATAAATTTTTGATTTATTTCATCGGGAAGAGGCCAAAATATCATGAAAATTTGCTGCTGATTACCAGGCAAACATAATCGGCCGACAGAAGCCAATGCATACGGGCTTAATACATTTTTTAGAACAGTTCTCTCGAAACGAAATGTATGTGTGTATGTGTGTGCGTACATTGCGCTGAGAGCAGGTATTCTTCTAGCTGTGCTACTCTCACCAACAAAACGGGATCAGAAATAAATGAACTACCCCTCCCGCTCAGGCAAATATGTAGGTGTGACCACTACACACTTAGGGAATGCAAAACTAAATTAAGTTACTATGTATGTGTATTACTTATGTACATACATACAAAAGCGCAATTCCATGCACACATGCATGCAATTAGCCGTTCTCCTTACAATCATTCATATATATATATGTATATATGTACATACATATGTACATACACATACAGCCGAAACGCAGGCAAGAGCGATCATGACGTCTCTACGCTTCAAGTGCTGCGGCCGTTCCCCTCGTAGTCTCTGGTAAACAAAAATAGTTGTAGTTCTAATACTGTTGGGCACAACATTTGAAAAATATTAATATAAAATGTTATTAATTTAAAGTATGTAGACAACTCAATAAGAATCATTCCGCACTTAGCAGAACACTAACAAACAGAGCGGCCAATAGGATTGTGAGTAAGCGAGATATCATTGTCATCTATAGCCGCCATTATTGCTATTGTTTTGCATCTCATTTTATATGATTTATGTGCGTGCGAATGAGTCAGATGCGGTCAGGGATTGCAGCGTTTGCAGAAACTAGCTGAGAGTCACTCACAGTTACTGTTCTCTTTGGCGATCCCGTTTTCTCATGCCACTGCCCAAGGAGAGTGTTAATATTTACATAAGTGCGAGTGGGACGAATACATTTTGGAAATGAGCAGCCATCATGGTGTGGGAGATATGTCACTTGCAAGTATCACTCTCGCCATCGCTCTTGCTCTCACTCTCGCTTTTGATCCTGCTTTGTATATATTGCAGAAAGAGAAGACTAGAATGTGCGGGAGGGTGATAGACAGTTGTTTATCATATGTAGGAATGAGTATGCTGTTAACTAAGGAATAGCAAGAATGCAATTATGGCAGAAGAGTTATATATATACATGCATATGTACATATATAAGCATATTGTGTGAATATTAATATACTGGAATACATGTATAACAAAATTGTTATACCCTCTGAATGGAAAATAAACAGTTTCACTATCTCTTAAAGAACAGTAATATATTTTTAGTGAAGGTGATTGCATGCGTGTGAGAGAAAGAGAGTGATAGAGAGAGAGGGAGAATGGAATTAAATTTAATGGAGCGACAACAACATCGCCTATGCAAATATGTATATGTAGTCCACATTAGCTGCGCCAGAGAGTAGAGCACGCTTTGTTAACTTATTTGCTTCCGGTTTTTATTTCTAGTTTCTTTTTTAATTTATTTATTTTTTAGCTTTTGTTGCCATATATAAAAATAAATAGTGCCGACATATATAGTACTACATATACATGGTACTCTCTTTCTCTCTAAATGGGTCAACCCTAGTGGCAACAGTTCATCATAGTTACCCGGTACTGTGCCCCCACTCGCTGGCCTTTCAACTGTCTCTGTTCAAATGTTGCCTCTCATCAGTTGCTGCTGCCTGCTGCTTGCCTCGGGACACACACTTGGAATGGAGGCTTTTAAGCCGTTTGTGGCTTTGCAAATATATTAGCTATTAGGCCTAATTGAATCGCCTCTTGGTTTGGGCCTTCAACTGCAATTGCCGTGTAATTGAATTGGTGTAAATTAATTTCAGCTAATTGTATTTTTTTTTGCTCAGGATGGGTGCTTCAAGCTTTTTATGAGATGCAATTATAAAGCGTTTATGCATGAAATAAGTACATGGCATTCATTATTTAATAAAGTAGCCAATTTATTTATTATTTATGAATTATGAGAATTCACTTCTAGTTCTATGTACATTCAAAATAAATTTCTCATAAGTTCTTGTAGAAATGCCAAAAGTTGACACACATTTTAACACATTAAATTAAATATGTTTTATAAAATTATTCTTTTTATGGCTTCTTTTTCAGCTGCCTGCATTTCAGCTGAAAAAAGTTCCAATTATTCAGCTGAGCCAAAACAAAAACAAGTAAGAAAGCTCTAGTCGAGACTGCTCGACTACGAGATCCCCTGAACCCTACAAGCAACTGATATTTCAATAATAGTTAGCACACTCACACGCACACACACACACACGCATACAAACAAACAAAACCATTATATCCTGATTTCCCATTTTCAATGGGTTCAAGGTATAAAACAAAAAAGAAAGGCAGAAATTGCAGGCAAAGTTCATTTTGAGACTCTGGACGCATCGAGTCAAATGCCAATGAGCTAATGGGCTTTCATCGATCTTTAGGCAGGCCATTCATGATTTCTAATCTCTGTCAATTTGCGAGCTGCAGCAGAAAGAGCTGAACGGGGTTTCATTCAGCTCGTCTACTCCTTGGCATTGAGGCTTCACCGTGCTTAGAAATCTGACTCTGACTTTATTTAGTTGCTATTTTAAATAGTTTTAAACTAATATAGGGAATCTCCTGCTAAAGCCAACAGGAATACAAAATTATTCATATCGATGTTAGTTCTTGTCCAAGCCCTCAAAGAAACGATCGAGCAGAGTGTCATTGACATGACCGATTCTCCAGCGCTGTCGCTCATTGTGCTCATCGCATCGGTTGGTCACGACCTTCGAGACGCCATTCTCGACAAATGCCTCCAGGCAGTTCCTGCCGTGATGGCCATGGACCAGCCACAGGTGTTGGCGATCGTAGTACCAGAATTGATTGCCGCCCTGATTGTGGCAGTCCCACATCCAGACTGTGGCATTCGGGTGCGAGTCCTGCACATCCAGGCAGGCATCGTCCATGCGCCGCAGCTCACGATGGGCGGTCAGCGCCCAGTTTTGGTTCTCTTGCGGATGGGTGCGGTTGTGGGCGCAGGCGTAGAGGCCGACGGGATGATTGGAGCCCAGATTCAGGCAGTCCAGACACTGGTCCTTGAAGGCCAGGCTCTCGATGGCGCCCGAGGCGTAGGCGGGCGGCTCCACTGGCGGGAATTTGGCAAGGAAATCGGGCGCCACCTCCTTCATGAACCAGTCGAAGGACTTGCACTGCAAACGCTCGCGCACCGCGCGCTGTCGCGTCAAGTCACCCGCATCGATGTTGTCGTAGGTCGCAGGATCGCGCTTATAGACGAACTCCTTGTACTCATCCATCCAGACCTCAGCGACGCGTTTGTGATTCTAGAAACGATTGAAATTGTAATTTCGCATGAGTTCAGCTGCAGCTCTTCATCATCAACTTACCCGCGCCACAAAGTTGTAATTGCGTGGATTGGGTCGCGGATCCATTTGGCCGCGGAAGATGTGCGCGACGCGAGAGCAGGGCACATCGAGCAGCATCCCGCCGCACATCCAGATCTTGAAGCTCAGCTCGTACTGCTCGCCGCCCCAAATCTCCAGCTCATCGTCGTAGCCACCCAGATCCCAAAACCACTTGCTATTGATGGCGAACAGGCCGCCCATCATGACCGGACTGCGATACGGCAGAGACTTGTCCACGCTATCCTCGGGCAGCACCGGCAGCTGCTTGTAGAAGAAACGCCAATCGAAGCCGCCCCGTGAGCCCTCCTGATAGCCGCCATTATAGGCGAAATTATTGTGATCAATAATGTCCACGATGGGACACGTGGCGATCTTGTTGTTGATGACAATGGGCTCTAAAAGCGGCGGCAGCTGGAATGAGAATTGAGATCTAATCTTGATATGTTGATATAAAGAAATCGAAGGACTCATCTGCCTCAAGTGGGCTTTACTGTAATAATCAAAACTTGCAGAACTTTATATAAATTATAGCTTTACAGCTTTCAAGCGTCTTTGTAAATGTGTGACTGCTCAAAGCTTCACTTATTCAGCTGCTATTTTAGTTTAATGAAAACAGCTGTAAGATTTCGCTCTTACTCAAGCTTCATTTTACACATAATAATAATAATTATTATTATATTACTTATTAATAGTTTTGTCTTCTGGACTTTCTGCTGTATTCAAATGTTTTCAATGCGGATATTTCTTATGCTTGATTCTCAAGCTCGGTTTCCCCTTTCACTCCTTTCTTTTCTCACTCTATTTCTCTTCCTCTTTCTTGCATTAAAATTTGATTTACATGTTGCTCTTTCTATCTCAGTTCACTCTTATCTCTAGCTAAGAGCTTCCTGATTTTCTCTCTCTCTCTCTCTCTCTCTCTCTCTCTCTCTTTCTCTCTCTCTGCTTCCCTGTCTATCCCCTCTTTCACTGTCTATCTCTCTTTCAGTCTCTATTTGTCTTTCTTTTCTTCCTTTTAACTTTTACTTCTTTTTACACTCTTTCTAAACTATTTCACTCTTTCTTTCTTTATTCCTCTTTTTTCTCTCTGAACCTCTTTCATTTTCATTTTCTATCTATCATCCTTATTCTCTTAACCGCTTTCTTCTTTTTTATCTCTCATTCTCGTTCACTCTCTCACTCTGTATCTGTTACTCTCACACTCTCATTCCCTTTCCCCATCTCTCCCTCACTCAAATTTGATACACTTGTTGCTTCGTCTCAGCTCACTCTCATCTCATCCTCTGTCTGATAGTCTATCCCTCTTACAGATCACTTTCTCCCCAACTCATTCCCTCTCCCTCTCTCTGGCACTTTCTCCCACTCACTTTCTTCCCTTCTCATCTCAGTTCACTCTCATCAAAGTTCCCTTGACTTACCCAATTGTAATTGACTTCAATGTGCGAGTCAAAGAAGACCATAACCTCACCGGTGGCCACCTTGGCGCCCGCTAAGCGTGCTCCGATCAGGCCACGTCTCTCAGGATTGTGGACGACGTCCACCAATTTGGGCCACTGTAGGGCGACATAGTCGTCCAATTGCTTCTTGAGCGTCTCCCATTCACTGCCATCGTCGACGAGCACAATCTGCTTGAGCAGCTCGGGCGGCGTGCGATTGACGATGCTGTAAATGGAGCGGAGCAGCGTCTGGAAGTGTTCGTTGTAGAATATGAAGATGACGCTGACGCTGGGCAGCTTGGCCAGATACTTGCGCGTCTTGCAGCTGCCGGAAGAGAAAATATCTGAGTAACTGAAGCGCGAGTGCATTTGACCTGAGCTTACGCCTCTTTTCGCACATCGGGCACTGAGCGATTCACCGAGATTCGGTCGGAGAGGTAGCCATTGAAGCCGTTCCTGCGGTACTCCTGCTGCTCCAGCTCCTTCTCGGACGGATCTACGCTGGCTGGCTGGCCATGCTCACCCAGGCCGACGCGCGCCTTGTCCGCTTCCATTGCCTTGTAGTCGTGCCAGTCCTTGCGCTCGCCCAGCGGCGTTGGCAGCGTAAACATTTTCAATGTCTCCGGCTTGGTCGTCTCCACTGGCTCAACGTGCCCACCATCGCGCACAGAGTTCCGATCCTGAAAGGGCGGACGGGCTTTTCGACGTGTCGGCTCCACGTGGGCAGCACGAAATTGCGGCGTTATCGGATCCCCATTGGGATCCAAATTGCTTTCGTCCACCTCGTCCGATGGCTTCGCTTTGCTCAGACGCTTCTCCACAATCACCGTGGTCAGCAGCGAGATGAACCCGATGATCATTACGAGGAAGATGAGCTTGCGCATCAGCCGCTTCACCTGGCGCTTCTTGAGGGCCATGGCCAATACGTTGTTCTGCTGGGAGGCTATGATTCGGAATGGTTTCAGGCCCGAGCGGCCAGACACGTTGAGTCAACTGCAACTGCGTGGCATGGATGTCCATTAATCTAATTGCAACTTTTTCTAACTCATTTTTGTTTTGTTTATTGCCTGATAAGGTAACTGAAGTTCGAGCCGCGTGAACATCGTTCTTCAATATCAATCAGAGAGCTATCTATTCTCTGGTTCTCGTGCCAAGGCCCAACTAACTGTAAATCAGCTGCCAACTACTTTTCACTTCCACTCACCTGTTTCGAGTACGATGCGAGCACTTTTACGCTTACGCCATCTGGCGGAACTAATGCGAACTTATCAAAATGAAT